AGGGCGCTGCCCAAAGGTGAGTGGTGGCCTTGGAGAGCTTGAGTATGGAGCCTCTCAGTGTCATGGGAAAACCATTGGTCTAGGTGTCATACCTGATTTCTTGACCTGTGTACTGACTGAAGAGGTGACATAACTTGCCATTTGACTAGGTAGAGTAGAACCTTCTAGTGGTAACATCCTGTGGGCATATGACCAGCCTACAACAGCTGAATGACCCAAGAGTTTCCTGGCTTGCAGAGGTCAAGCATAGTTCTGTAGAGTTGCAAAGATGATCGTCCCGTGGTCAGGTACCGTTGGTTGAGCACCCGCTCACCTCACCTTCATACTGACAACTGTGACGATCCATGTTTTTTCACTTTGTCACTCATCGTCCCAGCCATCAAGGCAGTTGTTACTCTCCTTTTGTTTTATTCTGTTGCTTTCACAGGTGACTAAACAAGCCAGAAAGGTTGAAGGTCACCCAGTTAGGAAGAGTGGAAGCAAGCACTGGAATTCTGGCCCCCAAAACAAACTAAGGCATGAGAAGAGACAGGACTCCCCTCCCCTTCCAGTTTTCAAAAAGTGTAAAAAGTGAGCTGACATCTTTTGGGAAATAAGATGTTCATGGGAGTCCATCTACTAAACAGGAAGTGGGCTTTTAGATATTTTGCTAGAATGGATGATGTTCTCTAAGGAGTTTTTCATTTAATGTAGAAACCTTGATTAGGAGGTATTTTCAGTGGTAGACGTGTGAAGTAGAATCCAGTATTCTCAGGAAAGCCTTTAAATAATTGATCAGAGGAAAAACTGTATTATTTCAAAACAGTTTTTTCTCTTTTAATTATATATAGCTTACTTTGTAAGAATAATATAATTAAAGATTTTAAATAGAGGGGAAAAAACAGTCATGTTATAAAATGTCTGTTAACGTTTTGGTCTCTTTTCTTTAGTGGGGACTTTTTAAAAAGTATGCATTTTTTATTTTAAATTAATACAACTTCATTAAAGAGAAAACACAGTACAAAGATCACCCACCCAAACACCAATTAATACTCTAGTACGTTTCCTCGTCGTGTCTTTTCTTCTGGTATTAGATCATTTATAAGTCTAGTTTTGCAATAATGTACAACCAAATCAAAATTAAAGGTAGAGAGAGAAACAAAAACACAGCAGTCTGGCTGGATCATTGATAATTAAGTTGCTATCTTTCCTCATTTCTTCCCAGCTACATCCGCTACTCCCAGATCTGTGCAAAAGCAGTCAGAGACGCACTGAAGACTGAACTCAAAGCAAACGCCGAGAAGACATCTGGCCACACCGTAAAAATCGTGAAAGTGAAAAAGGAATAATCTGTAAGTCACTGGTTTACATCAAGAAAAGTTACATCTTATAACAAATTGTAAACAGATTTTGTTTTAGAGCACTTTAAAACCCAAAGCATTTTTACTTTTGAGTTTTCTCCTTTTTGTTTGATCAATAAGTACATTTAGAAATTCGTTAGTAGGATCATAACTTAAAGCATACAGGTTATAGAAGTCTGGCATAATAAAAATAGTGTTGTTTTGAGCCTTGACAAGTAGAAGTAAATGGCACATTGATTTTCAGTTCATTTAGCAATGCCGAGGTACAGAGCCATTTTATTTTCATTAAACCTGTTTCATTTGTCTGCACAAAATCAAATAATTTGGAGGATAAAACTCTCCCACTTTTGTAATTGCTATTGGAGTTACATAAGAATCAGTAGCAGGAAAATTAGAGTTCGTTTTTATTTCCCCCACATCTGCTAATGTTCTCACAAATCACTGCTTCCTAAAAATAAAGGCTAGAAGTACAGGCGAGGGTCCTACTATTTTATCAAGCAATAAAATCTGCAAGACCCTGCAGTGAGTACTGTTTTGCTAAATTTATGCTTTCAGAGAGTTTGGTTCATTTTACTTCTCCAAAGATGTTAGCAATATAAAGTGACAGTTCTCATGCAATAAAAAGACAGTTTTGTACAGTTTGTAAGTTGAGACTTTTGTGCTCCAAACTAAAATGATTTGATCTCTAGTTTCTTGACATTGTTATTTCAAAGATAAGCAAGGCAAATTATCGGAGAGTTGTTTTTCAGATTTAATTTTCTTGTTTTGCTTGAAAAAAGCCTCAGACCCACAGTAGCAAGGCAGTGTGATAAATACTAATCCTTCGGCAGCTTGTGGTTATGAGCAATTTTACTTATTGGAACTGTCTCCCCTAAGCACTTTTCGTTTTCATTTTGAATTAGTAAATATTTTATTATGAGTCTGGAGATGCGGTGTTTTGAATTTAGCCCTTTTTCTAGGAGCTCTTTGTCTCATCTCATAATTCTGAGTAATGAGACCTCCTTTTAAGGTGGGTTGTTTTAACAATGAGCTGAGAAAATCACTTAGCCTCCCTCTGCAGCGTCGCTGAGCCAGGCTCTGCATCCGGCCCTCGTAACTTTGTGATGTCCTTGGGGTCATGAAGTCGTGTCCAGCTCCTTCCGGTAGACAAAATAATGACCCCTGTCCATTACATCCTACAGGAGATGGGGCCCCCACCCCATTAGCACAGAGGGTTTTTGTGTCTTTTGAAGGCAAAATCATGTCTTTACTATGAGGAGAGTGTTTGATTTTACTTAGCTGGGAGGGAAATGCTGTTCAGCTGAGGCTATACATGTGAGCCAGCACCCTGCAGCCGAGAGCATCGGGGCTCAGCCCCGCAGGCTGAATCGAAGCCACAGCTCTGTTATCCAGCTGACTATTAGGAAGTTATTTCCCATCTGCATGTTGCATTTTTAAGAGAAAACAAAGAACTAGCAACTGTTGCATTTTCTTTTTCCTCCAGACCCTGACTGAGGCTTGAAATGCTGCATTCCCAAGGTGGAGGGAGACGTGTGGGCAGTGTCGGGGCCGGCTAGAAAGGATCTCGCTCCCTGGGAAAACATGCCTGTCTTGTTCACAGATTGACAATGCCAATAAATTGAAGTTTGGTTCCCTCCTGCTGTTGGTTTGTGGTTTCCGTCGGACTGTCTGTCTCTCTCCTGGGAACTGTCTGTACCACTGCAGGGTTATGACATACAAACGGGGTTCTTGAAGAAGGGAGGGGGGACACATTGAACATCTGCTGACCAAAGGGCTGCGGAAACATCCCGAAAGCGTCTCCAAATGGAAAGTTCTGCTCCTCACGACATTGTTGGTGGAGGTGAGCCACTGTCACTGGGGCTAGCTGGCCCCCTTACCTCTAGTTTCAGAGGTCACATCAGAGTAGCAGATGGGTCATCGTCACTGTCCTCGTCCTTGTGTGGAGGCTGCGGCATCTCTAGGCAGCGCTGCTTAGCCAGAAGCCTAGGTGAAGGTAATTGCTACAAGCACAGGTTAGAAGCTCAAATATTAAACTAGTCCTGATTTTCACTGTGCACTTCAAGTCTATAGAGAAGAACTGATATTAGAATTTACGTAAGCACCAGATGATTTTCATATTGTTTTATAAATGAATCTATATTCTGGTAGCATCCCTCATGGGAAATGAGGCGAAGCTGTTCAGTAATTTGCGTATTGAGTTGACGGCCAAGCTGAAATTAAAATCGAAGGTTCGTGCTGGCAGGTCGAGCCTGATGATCACAACCGTTCTGTGGTGTTGGTAGGGTGATTCATTTATTCATTAAACATTTAGTGATGAAGAATGGTTAAAACAAGTGTTCTGTGTTTGTCTTCCTCTGAAACTTGGAAGCACGTGGCTGAGTAAAACGCCATGGCAAAGTTAACTGCTGGATTTTAACTCTGAAGAGTGCAGAGACTTGAGCAGGAAATCTGGAAGCTCGGTGCAGCTTCTGCACCAGTGGAGTTCACGCTCTGGAACTTAAGCTCACAGCAGTGGGTCGGGGCAGCTCCCAGCAATGCTGAGGATGAGCTGAAGGAAATGCCTGCCCAGGGCTTCCAGAGACAACTTCTTACCCCAGCCAGACACTTGATATCCAGGTTTTGTTCATTCCAGGCTCAGTGCAAGGGAGGAGGGGTACCCAGGTTGGATGGGGGAGCGGCACCCCCAGACCCTGGCGGGTCAAGAGCCCCAGGAGTCCTTTGCCTCGGAGCTGTCCTACTGTTTTGACATCAAAGCATCTCCATGTCAGTTCTGTGGTTCCCAAGATGGAGGTTCTAGGACACACTCATTACAGGAGACGGATAAATGAACCCCGAGGCTGCAGGGCCTTTCTGATACTGGACGAAGACAGTCACTAACAGGCAAAGGGCTAAGTTATTTCCCGCCAAGTAATTAGAAGTCTTTTATTAAGGGAGGCAGATGGGATAATGAGAGGTGAGGCTTAGGGACAGGGCTTCTGATACAGAAAGGATTAAAGTAACTGAATAAAAGACAAATTTACTGCCTAGCAAAAACTTTGAGCCTATTTCTCCGATTTAAAAAAGTCCAGAACTGATCGTGTGATGAAATATGCTCCCTGCATCCCGGCCTGCAGCGGGGTGGGGGGGTGTCTGTACGCAGCACTGTGCCCAAGTCGCGTGGGGACGCTGGTCAGACCTAGTCGTGGGTCTCTAACTAGGCGGTCATCTCTGAGGCAGTCGCTCAGGTAGTGTCCTCCTGCGTGAAGTGAAGGAGTCGAACAAGCTCTAAATTCCGTGATTCTCGCCTCTCCGCTCTGAAAGCAGTGTCGCCCGGAGCAACCATACCGCGCAAGGCATGAGCTCTTCAAAACCAGAGGGAACAGATATCTCTTGGTTTCTAGTTAATTTTTTTTTTTTTTTCAGTCTATTTCTACCATATGAAAGAGTAGGATGGTGAGATGCATTTTGAAATATTTTTAACTACTCAATCAGTCTGGTGGTTAGGCTCCAAGAAAAGGAATTTATTTAGTCTGAAATAAAGCAATTTAGCTATTTGAAATTGAATTTCTTGGTACTTTAATGATTACTATTTGAGCAAACAAAAATCTTTGCAGCCATATAAATCAGTTTTTTTTTTTAAAGAGTTAATTCTACATCTTCCCTTGCATCTATTTAATTGCTTGTTTAGATTTGAGAAAGAAAGTGCTAAAGGAAGCATGTGTCTACGTCCTTATATAATCCCAGGTTGTAAACCAGACTCTAAGGTACCTATGAACTTCAAGAGCGGATAGCTGCAGTTTCTTATTAAATCTGCTTTTGTGTTTAGCGCCTGTTGAAACACAAGTAGAAAGTGTTGGAAACAATGAGTTTTGCTTGTTTTTTGTAGAAAGTGTTTGAAACAATGGGTTTTGCTTGTTATTTTCTTTGTAGAAAGTGTTTAAAACAATGGGTTTCGCTTTTTCTGTTTGTTGTTAATTTTGTGTATAGGAGGCTTGTCGGCGCTGCTGAGGGCAAGGCTTCATCTCTCCGTGTGCGTTCCAGCTATTCCCTTGAGATGCACACGTGAAGAGCAAGATCTCTCAGCATGGCCAGGTGGCGTCCAGCCACTTTATTGTTGCAGATTCCAGACGCAGATCGGGACACGAGAAGCCAGGTGCCCACACGCACATATTTTTACATCCCCTCTCCCCGTTACTGGCTACCACGGAGGGAATCATAGAGCTTAGTGGCAATTCTAAAAGGCTGTTAAAACCCTTAGGGCACCTGCAAGGCATGGCAGTGCTGTGCGTCAAAACTAGGTAAACTGTAATTAGGAAGTTATGGATGATTTGATTATGCTCTTGTGTATTTGGTCCTGTTGTAATGTGTGCAGATTAAAACCGTGTAATGGCTAAAGCTGTGTCATCGTGCAAACATTCATGGCAACTTCTGCAAATTAATTTGAACTGCAGAAGTTCCCTAATGAGACCACGTCCTCCATCCCTGGGAAGGACACTGCAGCCGCCGCTGCTGAATTCCTACTTGTGAATGTTTGCCAAGTGCAGCCGGGTGCCCCTTCTCAAAGAGCAAAGAGGCTGCTGAGCATTTTCGGGGGTGACGGCAGAATGAGAATGCAAAGGGCATTTCAACAGAGCCTGTAAAAGGAAAGGCAAAGACCATCATTAATGGATTCCAGCACTGATCAGAAACTTAAAATACACAAATACATATGTTAAAAGCTTGACTCTTCAGAAATCAAGATCAGAGCACGGTGCTTCTTTAGCTTTGCTTTTCTCTGTTTGCTTTTTCTTTTGCGACCAGGTGTTTTTATGGCGAGGACAGCTGCTTTGTCCCCTGAATGTGCTGAGGTCTCCACAGGGTTTCCACATTTTACTAGTACCTGTGGGCTCACGTGCAGGTTAGTCACAGGTCCCCATCTACTCATTAGTCACCTGGCTTTTTCGGAGGCCAGCAAGCACAAGAGATAGGAGGCTGGGTGGTGTTCGGGGAGAAGAGAGGGCCAAAGGCAAGGGTCTCAGCCACCCCGAGTGCCAGGCCAGGATTCCAGGGTGTATTAAGTGCGCTAAAGAGTTAAAAATCAATGTCAACTGCAGTGTGGCTCCCCGCAAATCCACACGGATAGTCCGATGCCTGGCACCCTCCTATGCAAACACTGAATACCCAAGACATTTTTTTTTTTTTATTTTAATAAAGGGAGCACTTCACGATCAATTCACTTGGCTAAAAAAGAAAAGTTAACAGAGTGTGCACTGGCAATCAAGCCCTTCAAGGTGACTACATGTCAGCAGAAGACCCCAGGCCTATCAGCTCTCCCCCCACCCCGCCCCAGCCCTCCTGTCTCCAAGCAGAGAGTGGTGTCTGCAGTGCAGAATAGGCTGCGGATGCTGGAGGAAAAACCCTCATCTTAAGAGAAACTCTTCCGGAAGTGGCTGTGCCCTCCCTCCAGCTGATGGCATCTGCCCTGCAGCTTCTCTCCCGTTAACGTCGCTGGTCTTCTGGCTCGGCCTCCTCCCACTCCGCGACCTCTCCGCCTTCCTCCAGAGCCACCTTGGCATCTTGAATCTGTTGGTACTCGGACACCAGGTCATGGATATTCCTCTCGGCCTCTCCAAACTCCTGCACGTCCATCCCCTCGCTCGTGTACCAGTGCACAAACGCCTTCCTTCGGAACATGGCCGAGAAGTGCTCGGAAACCCTGCTGAAGAGCTCCTGGATGGCCGTGTTGTTGCCTAGAAAGGTGGCAGCCATGTTGAGCCCCGGGGGCGGGATGTCGCAGACGGCGACCTTGACGTTGTGGGGGATCCACTCCACAAAGCAGCTTCTGTTCCTGGTCTGCACGGTCAGCAGCTGGTCGTCCACCTCCTTGGTGGACATCTTGCCCCGGAAGATGCAGGCCACCGTCAGGTAGCGGCCCCGGCGGGGGTCGCAGGCTGCCATGATGTTGCGGGCATCGAACATCTGCTGGGTGAGCTCGGCCACCGACAGGGCGCGGTACTGCTGGCTGCCGCGGGCGGTGAGCGGCGCGAAGCCGGGCATGAAGAAGTGCAGGCGCGGGAAGGGCACCATGTTCACCGCCAGCTTGCGCAGGTCGGCGTTGAGCTGGCCCGGGAAGCGCAGCGACGTGGTGATGCCGCTCATGGTCAGGGACACCAGGTGGTTGAGGTCCCCGTAGGTGGGCGTGGTCAGCTTCAGGGTGCGGAAGCAGATGTCGTAGAGGGCCTCGTTGTCGATGCAGAAGCAGGCGTCGGTGTTCTCCAGGAGCTGGTGGATGGACAGCACGGCGTTGTAGGGCTCCACCACGGTGTCCGAGACTTTGGGCGAGGGCATGACGCTGAAGGAGTTGAGGATGCGGTCGGGGTACTCCTCCCGGATCTTGTTCATGAGCAGCGTGCCCATGCCCGAGCCGGTGCCCCCGCCCAGCGAGTGCACGATCTGAAAGCCCTGCAGGCAGTCGCAGCCCTCGCTCTCGCCCCTGACCACGTCCATCACGCTCTCGATCAGCTCGGCCCCCTCGGTGTAGTGGCCCTTGGCCCAGTTGTTGCCGGCCCCGGAGTTACCTGCGGCAGAAAGGAGGCATCGGGATATTCAAGGAGTCCTGGTGGGGCAACGGTTAAGTGCTTGGCTGCTAACCGAAAAGTTGGCGGTTCAAACCCACCCAGAGGGAGAAAGGCGTGGCAATCTGGTCCCATAAAGATTACAGCCTAGGAAACCCTATGGGGCAGTTCTACTGTGTCACGTGGGGTCGCTGTGAGTGGAAATCAACTAGACAGCAATGGGTTATATCAGTCCTGAAGAAGCCCTCGTGGCACAGCGGTTAAGCGCTCAGCTGCTAACTGAAAGGTTGGCGGTTCGAACCCACCCAGCAGCTCCACAGGAGAAAGGCCTGGCGATCTGCTCCTGTAAAGATTACAGCCTAGAAAGCCTATGGGGCAGCTCTACTCTGTCACATGGGGTCCCTGTGAGTCGGAATCAACTTGATGGCACCCAGCAACAACAAACAACAAAGCTGCCTCGCCCACAGTAAGGGGGTGGTGTGGGAGAGAAGGCACCACTAGGAGGCATCCTCATCTCTTCCTGGTGGAACCTTCTGGAAACACCTACTGTGGACAAAACTGTCGGGCTGGAAGAGGGCTCCAAGTTTGCTAGATCGGATGCTGTCCATGGTCCCAGGCTCCAGGTCCACCAAGACAGCCCGGGGCACATATTTCTTACCTGTGTGGAAAAATAGGGAGAAGTCAGCAAGACTGTTTTTCTGAAAGTTACTGTTTCATCAAAATAGAACCTC